TGGTCATGTCTCATTCTTTGCAATACCATGGACTGTACCTCTGTCCATGGGATTCTCCAGGCAAGAATACTGGAGTGGGTTGCCATTTCCTTCTCCAGAGAATCTTCCTGACCCAGGGATCAAACCCGGGTCCCCTGCATTGCCGGCAGATTCTTTACTGTCTGAGCCATTTTTATTAATTCCACACAAAAACATGAATCAGTCATAACTATATATACATGTGCCCTCTCTCTTGAGCCTCCCACCCTCCTCCCATCCCATCCTTCTAGGTGGTCACAGATTATCAGGCAGGGCTCTCTATGTTAAATAGCAGACTCCCACTACCTATCAATTGTACACATGTTAGTGTATATATGTCAATGCTATTCTCTCAATTAGTCCTAACCTTTCTCTCCCCCACTGTGTCCATAAGTCTGATCTCTATGTCTGCGTCTCTATTCCTTCCTTGCAAATAAGTTCATCAGTATTATTTTTCTAGATGCCATAAACATGCACTAATATATGATGCATCATTTTTTTTAAACTGAGGGACAATAAGAGTCATAATTGCTAAAGTGTAACAACAATAATACACAGAGCATTTTAATTTAGGGGACTTCCCTGGTGGCTGAGTGAGAAAGAATCCGCCTGCCAATACAGGAAACACAGGCTCCATCCCTGGGTTGGGGAGGTCCCCTGGAGAAGGAAATGATAACCCACTCCAATCTTCTTGCTTGGGAAAGCTCATGGACAAAGGAGTCTGGCAGGCCACTGCTCATGGGGTCTCAAAAGAGTTGGACATGACTTAGCAACCAAACAACAACATAAACATTTTAATTTAGAATCAGAAAAGCAAGTTTGCTCACAGGCTATATGTATAAACAGGCCAGTGCTATAGGCAGTAATTACCAAATGGAGATAGGGTAAGGTTGCTCAGCCTGGGGTAGAGGTGAGGATGGGATGAGATAGGGATAGTAGAAGAATGTGCCTGGATTAAAAGGACAGAAATTCTGATATCCTAACTAGGTACTGCTGCTGCTGCTAAGACGCTTCAGTCATGTCCAACTCTGTGCGACCCCATAGATGGCAGCCCACCAGGCTCCTCTGTCCACAGGATTCTGTAGGCAAGAATACTGGAGTGGGTTGCCATTTCCTTCTCCAAACTAGGTACTGCTACTAGAAATAATGAGTTGAGAAAGCTGAATTCCTCCATTCTCATCACATTACCTCCCAACTCACTAATTTTCCTCCTGCAGTATTTTATTTCCTTGTGTTGCACAACAAAATTGCCCAGGATGGGGAAGAAAAAGCCTGGTATTCAAGTGCACAAAGAATGAGCTATTCATTGAATCCTTCATCATTTGCTTAGAATTGTTCTTGCTAGGGGAAGAGCAGAGCTCTAAACATTTATTATAACATCCAGAAGTACTGAGGTGTTAGCTATGATTCTGTAGCAGATGTAATGTAAGATCAAACATATGATTTAAGAAATGTTTAAATGATTATAATTTATGGAAAGCTTTAGGGAGTAGGTACTAAAATAAGGAAAAATAGATTCAAATACAAACCCCATGTTGCATTATTGACTTCTATTTTTTTAGTTTAGTTTTATTTATTTATTTATTTTTAATAGAAGGATAATTGCTTACAGTATTGTGCTGGTTTCTGCCAAACATCAACATGTCATTATTGGTTTCTTAAAAAAAAGAAAATTGAAAAAAAAAAGAAAAAGAAAATTGTACAATGAATTCTTTCCAACTCTACCTTCTGTTAATGCCATCTCAAGAAGGACTATATGTGAAGAAAAATAGGCCCCTCCTATCTTGTATTCTTTCCTCTAAATGAAGAGGAAAAATACTACTGCTATATGATGTCTTGAAAGCCTTATATTAATTTTCTGCTTCAGAAAATTAGTTACATATACCAAGCGCATATGGTAAAAGAAGTTTACACCAAAAACAGTGGTTTTTGCTTTTGCACTTATTGATTAGAAACTACATAAGATAGAGGGGGGGAAAGGGAGAAGTAAACAAAATTTTTATCATCATTATTATGTTATTGTTGGCAAATAATAATATATTCTTGCACATATTTTCCTTTATAGTTCAGTTCAATCGCTCACTCGTGTCCGACTCTTTGTGACCCCATGAATCGCAGCACGCCAGGCCTCCCTGTCCATCACAAACTCCCGGATTTACTCAAACTCATGCCCATCGAGTCAGTGATGCCATCCAGCCATCTCATCCTCTGTCGCCCCCTTCTCCTCCTGCCCCCAATCCCTCCCAGCATCACGGTCTTTTCCAACGAGTCAGCTCTTCGCATCAGGTGGCCAAAGTATTGGAGTTTCAGCTTCAGCATCAGTCCTTCCAATGAACACCCAGGACTGATCTCCTTTAGGATGGACTGGTTGGATCTCCTTGCAGTCCAAGGGACTCTCAAGAGTCTTCTCCAACACCACAGGACTTTATAAAAATAGGGGAAAATTGAGTGTTTATTATTACCTAATGATAAGATCATCTCAAATAAGATAGATTTGAGTAAGTATCTATACTTCCCTTAATTTCAGGAACAAATCATCATGTTACTAAACTGGCTTCATGGCTTTTTAGCATTAAATCTTCAAACCTATTCAGACACTATCAGCAAGCACAGTTACACTCCAAATCCAACAAACATTCAATTTTTAAAATATAACCTTTCTAAATATGTCTATTTCTCTCCATTTTGGAAAGCTAAATTTATGTCTACCCCTCAGAGGCAGATACTGCTACACATCTTTTCCTGAGATAAATGCATTAAAAAAGCATCCGCCCTAAGAAGCCATCCTCAGCCTCTAATAAATTAATTCATTTCACAATATTTATAAAGTGCCTTCTGCATGACAGACACTGTACCAGAAGCTTGGATTCAAAGACAAAGAAGCCACAGTCCACCCTCAAAGAGCTCAAGGTCTAGAGGGAGAAACAGATTCCAACAACTAAAAGCTCTGATGACAAAGGAAAGCAGGCCGCCTTCTTTGATCTTTAGGGACTGAGGTTAGACGTGGTCAATCTACACTGGGCTTTGAAGCACCAGCAGGAATGAAGCAGGTAAACGAAAAGAAAGGGAATATCTTCCAAGAAGACAGGGCACTTTCTCGGTCATGGCAGATTTTGTTTTGGTTTGGGTATCAGAAAGAAGTTGTTGGGGAGAAGAAATATAAGACTGACTTTTAAAAGTTAACGTTTTGGGGGACTTCTCAGGTGGTCCAGCGATTCAAGACTCTGCACTTCCAAGGCAGGGGACTTAGGTTTGATCCCTGGTCGGGGAACTAAGATCCCACATGCCATGCAGTGCAGCCCCAAATAAATAAATTAATTAAAAAGTTAACATTTTTCTCCTCTCTCTTTCTCTCCTTCATAACCATCCAGTAAAATCCAGGGATGGTCAAGGTGCTCCCTGGTGCCAGGGTCCAGCCTCCTTCCACCTCTGGCTCTGCCATTGCTAGGGCATTAATAAGCCCTAGTTATCAATGAACCTGAACTGCTTAGGCCTGCACATCCTTCTAGGGGAGAAAAGCATCACAGGCCCAACTTAAGAGCACTAGGCAGAAGCTCTCCAGATCTCTTCCACCTCGATCCCACTCGGCCGAACTCAGTCACATGGCCACAGCTAGTGTCAAGAGGGGCTGGAAAATATCCTATTTGGTGTACTTGTACGCCTGGCTGAAAAGCAAGAATTCTCTTCCTATAGAACAGGTGTTGGCAAATTTGTTCTGCAAAGGGCCAAATAGTAAATATTTCAGACCACACATAGTCTTTGTCAGGGCTTCCCTGAAGACTCAGATGGTAAAGAATCTGTCTGCAATGCAGGAGACTGGTGCTCCATCCCTGGGTGGGGGAGATCCCTGGAGAAGGAAATGTCAACCCACTCCAGTATTCTTGCCTAGAGAATTCCACGGACAGAAGAGCCTGGCAGACTACAGTCCATAGGGTCGCAAAGAGGCGGACATGACTGAGAAACTATCAGTCACTCAATCACAGTCTTTTGTCATGTATTGTTGTTGTTCTTCTTCTTTTTTGTTTTTCTTACAACTCTTTAAAAATGTGAAACCCATTCTTAGTTTGAGGCTCTGTAAAACAGGTCATAATTCAGATTGGGCACACAAAATGTGACAAGCCTATGGAAGAAAAGAAAATTAATTAAGAAGAAAAGTGCCCAATCCCAGCATGAACTCTACAAGATTATAAACCACTTGGAGGAAGAGATTTGCCTCATTCACTTTTAGAGGCTAGCACAGTGCTTGGTCTGCAGAGTAGATGCTTAATGTGAATGAGTGATGAATGAATGAATGAATAGATGGAAGATAGGGGAGATTAATAGCTACCATTTCTTATAACCCCACTTTGTGCCAATGATAGTCTCTTAACATAGATTGTCATTTGAAGACCCCATTTTCTCCAGAGTTTGAAAAAAAAACTCTAGCCAAGAGCAGACAAGTGAATCCACTGGATTTTCCACCTGCTTCACCCCCTTAGGTTCCTAGAGTCAAGCAGCCCACTTCACCTCCCAACCACAGATGCAATTGGGTCCCAAATATGGCACAGGACAGAGAGGACCTCCCTAATCACAGCTCCCCATCCTTGACCTGCTCTGCAGGTGGACAATCCCGGGAGTGCAAGGAGGTTACGGAACCAAAGGCCTTCCGGTTTCCTCCCTTTGATAGCCGGGGGGCAGAGGAGAGTCTGACTTGGTTTCACCCTTTTAAATATCACATGCTCGGTGGGAATGTCAGCAGAAGCCTTCAGGCTGAGTAGACAATTTTTAGTTCCCCTCTTCCTCTTCCTTCTTACTCAATATCCTGAGGGCATAAGAGGACTTTTCTTGTCTAAGTCAGCCTGGTGGGGCGGGGTGGGGGGAAGCGTGGATCACTCAACCGTTCCCCTGGACGTCTCCTTGCCAGGGCTCAGAAAGTGCCACAGGGCTTGGACTCTCCATCCTGAGCAGACACAACAGCCCAAAGTGAGGAGTGGTCCAGTCCCTGGCCCCTGGAAGACCTCCTCAATGAGACAATCCTCCCACTTCATTCTGCAGGAGTCAGGTAACAGCTCTGCCCAGGTTTCCTCTTTCAAATCAACATGGGATTTTTTTTTTTCCCAGCAGGAAAATGTACCGCCTCCAAATTCTGGCAGCACAGATTGTGCTGACTGGAATCATTGACAGAAAGGCATGCTTTGTTGGCAAACAGCAGAAGAGGTGGACATCAGACACCACAGCTCAATTTCATTGTAGCCAGGGGGTGATAAGCAGATAAAAACGCATGTGTCATTTGCTCTAGATGGGGCTTCTCGCACATGGCTGGCCCAACGTCTGCTGTTGCTGGCATTAAATGAAGTCTTGCAACAAAACCGGAACCGCGGTCCTAACTGAGCACAGATGATTGATTTCAGTCTTGGCTCCTGACAAGCCTAGTTTTACCCTTTTGATGAAGAGGAGCAAATTTCATTTTTTTCCCCAAAGCTTAAGAGCTGACAGGAAGTGGGGATTCATGTGAAATTCCTACACAGGCTAGAGAAAGGGGCTCTGCTACCATCAACCCTGCCTTCTCAGAAGGAATTCTAGCGAAATGGGACCAATGACAATGGCTAAAAGTCATCTGAGGAAATCCAAAATTACCTTTTGGAGTGACTTTGGCCCTCTCGTATGAATTGGGGTCTCTCATGAAAACATTACAGTGTCTTTTGCCCACCCTCCCCCCTTTTAACTAAACTTTCAAAGAGGTAATTAAAATGGACCTCTTACTCTGCCTCCTACCAACTGCATGACTCTGATTCAGCCACTTAACCTCTCTGTGCCTCAGTTTCCTCCACTAAAACAATGAGAATAATAATAGTACTTACCTCCTAGGTTTGTTGTGAGTATAAAATTATACATACTTATTGGGTACTAATAGTAATAGCAATAAATATTATTAGGGATCACTAATATTTGCCACTTTTAATATTTTGACATTAGAGATTACTCTGTGTAGAAACATAGATGGGTTTATGAACATAAGGCAAAATCATGCCTTTGCTTTTATGTACAGGCTGAGAGATTGCTGGGAATGACTTTAGGTTGATCGAAACATTCATATACAAGGCAGGACACAAACTTTAGATATTCTGATGCTCCTAGAAATTAATGATAAATGAGGGGCAGGAGGACTAGATGGTTCCTTTCAATAAAACTATATCTTTTAAAATGCTCCATTAAAGATGATCATGAATATCAAAAGAATTGTAGTGTAAATTCATTGAACACACTGGAGAGGTTAGGCTTCTGTTTCAAACAGAAATGTCTGGAAAGGACTCCATTTATCTTGGGAAATTATTTTAAAAATTCAAATCCATGCTTTCTGCGTGTTATTTCCATCCATTTAACTACCAGCTCACTTCAAAGGCTTCCAGCTCCTGTAGGAATCCAGAGGCCCCTTCTCTGGACTCAGCGTTTAGTAAAGGCTTGTTTGGGGGGAAATTCTAAAAGCTCCGGCAGCCTCATTGAGTAGTCACACCGCCACCTAGTGGCCCAAAGGCTAAATAAGTGCAAGCGATTCCCTCGAAGCTTGTTCTCGCCTCGTTACAGCTGCTCAGTCGCGTCTACTCTGTGTGACCCCATGGACTGTAGCCCACCGGACTCCTCTGTCCATGGGGATTCTCCAGGCAAGAATACTGGAGTGGGTTGCCACGCCCTCCTCCCGGGGCAGGACCCAGGGATCGAACCCAGGTCTCCCTCATGGCAAGCGGGTTCTTTACCGCTGAGCCACCAGGGAAGCCCTCTAGCCTTACTGTCCCTTAAAAATCGTGTTTTCTTTCTACTATTGGAACCCCATGTCAATGAGAGAAGTGGGGTGGGGTGAGGGAGAAAAAGAGAAGCGGAGAAAATCAGGGGAAGTAGACAAGATCTTTCACTGGTCTGAGGCGTTAGTAGCGGCTGCTTCTAGGTGAAAATTTCCAACGCCAAGAATGTGGAAGAGGACTGTGGTTCCCTGGCAAAGTTGAGATTGTGGTCCCAGGGGTTTTGGTTAAGACCATGGTTCCAGAATCAAGAAATGAGTTTGAATGGGGCCTCTGCTATTCACTGGCTATGGACCTTGAGTGAATTACTGAACTGTCCCATGCCTTGGTTTCTTTGTCTATAAAATGGGGATAACAATAACTTCTTCTTGGTTTATTATGAGCTGCTAGCAAAGAAGGCAATCCACAGCATTATCTACTGTTGTGGCTGTTTTTAAGAGGAAGATACTGGAGAAACTGCTATCTCACAGGTCAGGCAGTGCGGGACAGTGGGCCCAATGGTTGAGCAAACAGGACAACCAGATTCTGGTTCTGCCAATAAATAGCCGGGTGACCTCGGGTGGATCGCATATCCTGTTTCCTTTCCTGCAAAATGAAGAGCTTGAATTAATTTTGAATGGGGCCTCTGCTATTCACTGGCTATGGACCTTGAGTGAATTACTGAACTGTCCCATGCTTTGGTTTCTTTGTCTATAAAATGGGGATAACAATAACTTCTTCTTGGTTTATTATGAGCTCCTAACAAAGAAGGCAATCCACAGCATTATCTACTGTTGTGGCTGTTTTTAAGAGGAAGATACTGTAGAAACTGCTATCTCACAGGTCAGGCAATGCGGGACAGTGGGCCCAATGGTTGAGCAAACAGGGCAACCAGATTCTGGTTCTGCCAATAAATAGCCGGGTGACCTCGGGTGGATCGCATATCCTGTTTCCTTTCCTGCAAAATGAAGAGCTTGAATTAATTGGTCATTAAGGTTATTTTTTCTTTCTCAAACACTAAATCTAAGGCAAGTCTTCCCATTAAAACTGGCCCACCTTTAAGGCTCATTTTGATCTTTCTTTTTACCAAAGCCCAGAGTCAAGCATGTCCCAGGCATTTATTTCTATAGTTGCTGGTGGATGAGAAATAGCCAGCAACTATAGATACAACTACTGATACAGTTTTTGCTGTATCAGTCACAAGGAATAGACCAAGTATATATTTGGTCAGGATAAGAACTCAATGGAAGGTCCTAGAAACTGAAGAATATTCCCCCATCAGAAGCTGGTCTAGGATTTCTCATATATTTGAAGAGTTCACAATGTGTTTTGTTTTGTTATCTCTGCTAACTAGCCTCCTTAGCATGACAGGAAACCAACAAAACCTTTGAGCTGTACCAATTCAATATATACTTTATGAGTAGTGTTGCTAAGTCTGTGCCGCCTGTGATGGTCAAACTAGTATCTGATCTTGCTTCCAAGAACCCATAACTGCCCCCAAAACTCACCTACTGCACATAAGTATTAATAATTCCCCATTCTGTTGCTCCAAGCCAGGGACCATCCCACTAGAAACACCTTGCTCTGGGATGATAACGATGGTGGCCTAGAAAAGATAATTATGAAGCAATGCTTCCTGCCCTTCATCCTAAACAGCACCCACGCAGGTGCTCGGACATTTAGAGAAATCAGAACAAAGGCATCCTCGATCTTTGTGAGGGTGGGTGTATTAATTCCTTGTGGATCCTATAACAAATCACAAACTAGGTGACTAACAACAGCAGAAATTTATTCTCTTAGAGTTTTGGAGGCTGGAGTTCTAAAATCAGGGTGTCCACAAGGCCACATTGTCCCCAAAGGCTCTAGAGGAAAATCCAGTTTTTGCCTTTTCCAACTTCTGGCAACTTCTGGGGCTTCCCTAGAGGCTCAGATGGTAAAGAATCTGCCCACGGTACAGGAGACCAGAGTTCGATCCCTGGGTCAGGAAGATCCCCTGGAGAAGGGAGTGGCTACCCACTCCAGTATTCTTGCCTAGAGAATTCCATGTACTGAGGAGCCTGGCAGGCTACAGTTCATGGAGTTGCAAAGAGTCAGACACGACTGAGCAATGTGCCCACTCACACACAGAACTCCTGGCAGCCTCCAGCATTCTTTGGCCTGTGGCTGCATCACTCCAAGCCTTCCTCCTCCTCCACATGGCATTCTCCTCCTCTCTGGTCTTTTCCTCCTCTGTATCTTACCTTACAGGGACACTAGTCCTTGGATTTAGTGCCACCTAAATCAGGATGATCTCATCTGATCCTAATTATACAAAATCCTCTGTTTCAAATAAGGTCACGTGCACAGGTTCTGAGACATGAACATATACTTCGAGGTTGCTACCATTGAAACCACTTAGTGGGGAGTAGAGAAGACAGAGCAGAAATTAAGAAAGACAAGCAGTCAGCTTCTGCATCCCAGTTCCATTCACCCATGCTGAATCAGTGAAAAAAAGGGAAAGTCATTCAGTCATGTCCGACTCTGAGAGCCCATGAACTATAGCCCACCAGGCTCTTCTGTCCTTGGAATTCTCCAGGCAAGAACACTGGAGTGGGTTGCCATTCCCTTCTTCAGGGGATCTTCCTGACCCAGGGATCAAACCCGGGTTTCCTGCATTGTAGGCAGTTACTTTACCATCTGGGCTACTAGGGAAGCCCATGCTGAATCACGGTAGCCCCCAAAGACATTCCAATCCTTGCCACTGAATTTCAGCAACTCAATAAACATGTGAGGATAAGAGCAAGAGGGATCCAAGGTCCCAGTGGTTTTGAATCATTTTTGTACCCAAACACACCAGGTGATGCCACACCTTCCCATTTGTACTGGCTGGGCTGGTCATTCTCCATAAAGAAATCTTTGAAGAAACAAAACAGGATGCATTGGGACATTTAGCATGTGCAGCTTGAAAAACTCCCCAGGGTGATTCCACCACACCCTGTGCCTTTTACCTTCCTCTTTCCTTATCTTAACCTCAAAGTAGACCATTCAAAATATCTGTATTTACTTCATCAGTCAAAAAATAGCTTTAGTCAGTGACAAATATACTTATACCTCTCAAGTCATTTTTGTTTTTATTCATATTAGAAATTTGACACTGGCCCACTGTTTTGTGTTAGTCACACTTATATGTGACATTTAAAATATTCTAGAAGTTAAAAACAAAATTTGAATTGAAATTTCTTCTGAGCAGTAAGATGTTTCCATATAATTGATATTATTGAAATACCATTTTTCCTCCCTTTTGAGA